ATTTAAAAATGAATTCTTCAGTACAGTAGCCACATGTCAAGTTTCAACAGCCACAGGAGGTTAGTGGCTATATCATACATGGTACGTATAGAACATCTCTATTGTCGCAGAACGTCCTATGAGATAGTGCTGCTCTAGAGGTTTCATTTCATCCTTTTGGTTTGAAATGCCTTTGGGCCCTAATTTGTTTTGGAGCATGAAAGTGAACTCCAAGGCTTGAGTGGCTTTTATTCAAGAAAGCTGGAGCCAGGAGGGCCAATAAGTGTGCCCACTTTGGTTCCATTGGCCTCTCTGGACTCTTCTCAGGCTAGGAGAAAGCTGAAAGGGAGGCCAAAGCTTTGATCATGGAGAGTTGCCAGGGACAGATCTCCTCTGGAGTGCTCCCACTGGGGAGTTAGTGAGAGGCAATGGGCACTGGCTACTCCCTGTGCAGGCAACAGCCCAATAGGATGCCTCCAGCCAAGGGAGACGAGATTAGTCCAGAAATAGAAACCCTTGCTTCTCCACCCCTCCATGACCCACATGGGAGCCTACAGGAAGGGGAATAATTAGGAATGTCCCATCTGTAGTGAGCTCCTGCCTTCCAGGGAAGGCCAACTTCTGCTAAGGGGAGAAGCATGGAGACAGCCCTACCACTAGTTCATCATCAACTCCACTCTTCCTCTCTTTGTTGTCTTTGCTAAGTCACTGTCAACATTAAATTCTAGGCAACTAAGTGACATCATCTTGCCTTCTGGTACCCAAACCCATGAGCTGAGAGTGGAGTATCTGTGGCTAACTCTACTTCCTCTACCAGGTTCTTGCACTCTCCCTCCATGGTAACGTCAGAGCTGCCAAAAACCTTGGGACTATGCAGGCTCATCTTATTGGCCTAGAGTATCTGCTGTGTGGCTCCCTTTTCTCCTCCCCTTGTCCTCTGGGAAAGGTCGATTTGGGAATTTTAACTGGGATTGTACTGAATCTATGGATTAGTTTGAGGGGAAATGAAATCTTAACAATACTGCGTTTTCCAATTCATGAACACATCTCTCCATTTCAGTCTTTCTTCATTTGTCTATAAAATTGTATGGTTTTCTCTGTAGAGATCTCAGTCACTTTTTGTTAGATTTATTCCTCAGCACTGGACATTTTTCAGTGCTTATCATAAAAAAGTATCTTAATTTTTTTTCCCTATCTTTGTTGGTAAATGTCAGCTCATGACAGGATGACGATCTAGCATGTCCAATCATTCCAGCCCAACTTTTTCCCATGCTGACCAGCTTGGTCTTGATAATCATGTAGGGCCCAGGTACCATCCAGGTATCTCCAGCTAGTTATCTTTTACTCCTAGGGAAGGAATTTCTTCTTGCTTGCTATTAGTTATTCAAATCAATACCACTTTCATTCTACTTTCTTCAGACCATCCCCACAGATTCCTAACATCTGTGGGGGGGCTGAATTTTTCTAAACTAGTTTATGTTCTCTAGTTTTTTGTGAAAAAAAATTTGTTTAGCATGAACACAATATGAATTTCAGGAGCTGGGCAGTTGGATTCAGGGCAGGGATTTACTTGAGTAAATTCATTTTCCATGGAGTAGTGAAGAGAACATGTAGAAATGAAGAAATTGGGAACATCAATCACCGCGAAGACGATAAAAGAAGGAAGCAAGAGTACAAACTGCTCTACTGATAGATCAACCCACCAAGCAGTCAGAGAGAGAGAAAGGACAGAGAAGAAAACCCAAGCATTCAGCCCTCAGACAATTTACTGACTATAATTAATGTCAACTATGACACTTTGGGTATTGAATGTCCCCTAAAGGTTCACATGTTTAATGCTTAGTCCCCAGAGTGGCACTACTGGGGGTTAGTAGAATCGTTGGATTTAGTGGGAAGCCGTTGGGTCACAGGGTTGTACCCTTGAAAGGGACTATGGGAGCCTAGTCTGTCCTCTCATTACATTTTGGCAGCAGATGGGACTGTTATGCTCCTATATGTCCTCCTGCCATGATATGCAGGTGGCTATTACTCTCACCAGATGTTGTCACCCTGCCTATACTTCCAAAACTATCAATAACCCCTTTTCTCTTTATAAATTAGTTGCTTCAGGTAGTTTGTAGTAGTATTAAAAAGCTGATTAACACTAAGTTTTCCATATTCTTACTGCTTAATTATCCTTTTACAGTAAATATTTGAAAGTATAAACTCATTTTTATGATATATCAACAATCATGCCATGTGAAATATAAAATTCAGAAGAGAATTTTACTTAATGGTGGGACATGAAAGTTATTATGAATTACAGGTACACTATTAGACGCCACCTGTTCTTATGCAATATCCAGCCAGATATTTCTATCAGAGTTTTGAGGGGTTTCTGTTTTGGTTTTCCTCATAAAAAAATGAGGATACTTTTCCTGGAATATATTCCTTAATGAAGAACATAGTACAGTGAGGATCCAGGGACCTAACACTCCTTTCCCCCTCCCAACTGGTCAACCTTCTCTACATAGCTAGAGCTAGTGGCCTTTGTCCCTCTATTGTCACAAGTCTCTTTAGGGGAATTTAGAGAAAAGATCCATTCTTCTTCCTTTCTTCCTATATTGGAGATTAAATCCAGAGCCTCACACATGCTAGGTAAGCACCAAGCTACATCTGTAGCCTTTTTAAATTTTATATTGAGATAGGACCTTGCTAAGTTGCCTAGGTTGGCCTCAAACTTGTGATCCTTCTGCCTCAGGCTCCCAAATAGCTGGGATTACAGGTGTATATAGTTGTTTCAGGCTCCTTTCTCTCTATATCACAATTGATCTTGTCAGGTGTGAAATGCAAATGGCTCAAAGATGCTCTCTTCCTTCTCTGGGAATAATCTCTCATATTTTACTATGTCTTTTCATGATAGAAAACCAGGGGCTGAGGAAACTCAGAGGCACTTTATAATTTAGGTTGCCCCAACTGGTTACTTCTAGAAACCTGGCTTGTTCCTTGATCTGCAGGACTTAGGTAGAGTGTCTTTCAGGCTGAGACCCCCGAAGGTGTCAATTTCATGTGCTTCCTAGGGCAGGTTACCCAATCCATCACCTTGCTCGTGAGACATGATTCAGAAAATCCATTGTAGGGCTCTGCAGACTGCCTCAGACTTCATCAGGAACACATCTGAGTCAACTGTGGGATGACTCAAGGCTTTGAAATATTTAAACCATATGTCTCATGACACCAGATGAAAATGATGCCAGTTTCCCTACTGAGAGGTTGTCATCTGAGACTGAAGCTCAGCTTGGCAGCGATCCTGTATCCCAGCCTTACTGGGTCATGCTGCTGTGTTGGTGAACCTGTTAGTACTCCTGGGACACAAGGCTTGGAATAGGGTCACATGTGGGCAGAGATACTGTGGGCCCCACAGAAGATAGCCAGGGAAATTTGCTGGTTATTTATAGGTTAGGATATAATGTATCCCCTAAATGGGACTGAACTTGGAAGTCAAAGTGAAAAAGAATATAGTTACTTCTCTGAACGAGGTAGGGAAACACCATTACTATTACCAAATAATGCTCATTAGGAGTCTTGTTTGCTGAAGATTAGCTAAGATCCCTGGGCATTCTTTGAGTGAGAGGAAGAATCATCACTCTAAGAATATTGTCTGTCTTATTTTTTTTAAATGTCTCAAAGACTGTTTCCTTCTTTCTGAAAAGTATCCAGCAGAATACTTGACATGAAAAAAATGCTTGCTAACAGCTTAGTGTGGTAGAAAACACCAACTATAAAGTCAGAGGTGCTAGATTCCAATAACAGTTCTACCCCTTGCAAGTAGTGTAATTGATATTGGGCACATTGCTTCCCTCCTCCCTGTGTTGGGGGTGTTAATACCTATCTTATGGGGAATGTTTTAAGGACTACATACAATGATGCGTACATAGCACATGGGGCATTATAAAACCTGTTAGGTGACTATTAATTCAAAGAAGGTCATGGATATCTTGTTAATGAACATAGATATAGTAGCAAAGAAGGGTCCCCATCTAGAGTTAATCCTGGAACAAGTAAAAATTTGAATAAACATAGAAGGTATGGCCAGAGACTCATTCTTTTTGCTTCCTGTTGATCTGTGCTACAACTGGGAAAATTAGGGAAGAGGGAAAGAGAAGGCTCAGAAAGCTGGAAAGATTTTCTCAGTCTTTAATTGTGCAATTCTCCAACCTTTCCTTTTCATCACTCTCCAAAGGATGTTGTGGTGGCCATGGGGGTCCCTGAGCTGCTGTTACAGCCTCCCTCAGAAGTAGCTGCCTGAGTTGTGATCCAAGGCCCCTGAATGCCTGTAATTCTGTCCTATCTACAGAGGCCAAGGATGGAAGTCACTGCTTACACCAACCTGCTCCTGTACCTTTCAGGAAAATGCAGGTGGTGCTGGCTAAGAAGAGCACAGATAATCCAAAATGGCAGGTCATCCAACCTTCCCTACCATGTCCATTCACAGTGGTTCTAATCTTCCTTTTAAAGAGCTGCCTACAAGAGCAATACAGAGGAATTTACAGGTAACTACTCTTTCTGTGCTGAAAGGTATAAGTGAGCAATGACACAGCCTCTGAGGGAGGGAACAGGAGGTGCCTGTAGGCTGGAGCCCAGAGCCCTGAACAAATGCAGCCCTGGTTGAATTTTTCACATGAGGTTGGTTTGTATGGCCAATTAAATGGGAGGAGGGTAGAACAAAAGTCTGAGAAGATCTGGGGGACTGAGCTCAGAGGTTTGGTTTGCCAGTCTGAGAAAGGGAGAAGGGCAATGGCTCAGTTCATGAAGGAATCTGCTTCCTCTGAGTCCCAGTCAAGAGCTGATTCCTGTTTCAAGGAGTTGGCCTACTTCAACTCTTGGCAGGTGTAGGAGTTGGGGCACTTATCATTGGAGAAGGGATGGTTCTTCGCTGATAATTTCTGCCCCTCACTCTTCTTCTTTAAGCATATGCACTCCCACATTCTTTTTTACCCTCTCCCTGATGCCTGTCAACCAGCCTTTTGTCAGAGGCCTACCTTGGGTTTGAAGGCGATGAGCTTCAGGATCATCTCCACAGTGAAGAGGCCAGTGAAGAGCATGTTGAGGATGTTCATGGCGATTTTGAACAGGCAGCTCTGGCCATAGTGCTGAGTGAAGGAAGACGAAAGGAACTATGAGCACGAGGCAAGGATCCACGGCCTCCTCACTACCTTTGCCCAGACTTCCTGGAAACCCTCATCTCATCAGAGATCTTCCTTGAAGTAACCCCCAGAAGGCCATCCACCTTTCCTTAGGCAGCCAGGTGAACTCAGGAGAGCCTATAAATTCTTCTCTTCTCTACCATCTCTGAAAATAGGGGTTGACAGAGTTCTTTGCTCATTCTGATTGGATGTGATAACTTTGTGGGGGCTTCTGGCACTCAAGAGCCCTGGTACAAGCTGACCTCCTTGCAGACAAGTGCACACCCATGCCTTCCTGATACCAATGACTGCTTCAAGCTCACTCTCTTGGTTCTTCATTTCCTTTACCCTCTTCATTTTATAAACCTAGGACCCCATGGATTATTTCATAAGGTCCCTGAGGGGAACTTTTTCTTGGGAAAGGACACTTTTCTATTTCCAGATGGGAGAAGAGAAGAGCTCTTTTGCTCTTTCTGCTTCCCTTGGACACCAGGAAGGTGAGCAATGAGAAGGTCTGCAGCTCTTTGACATCCTCTCATACCATTCTCCCTGGGCAGGACCAGGTTCCCCTTTGGACTGACCTGCATGGCCAAGCAGATGGTGTTGAGCAGGATGAGGACGAACATCAGGTACTCAAAGTAGGTGGAGTTGACCACGTACCACACTTTGTATTGGTGCTGGTTCTTGGGGATGTACCTCCGCAGGGGCCGGGCCTTGAGGGCGTATTCCACACACTGTCGCTGGGAGGGGGCACAGGAAGGAGTGGGATGGGAGTAGGGAGAGAGTGGAGTTAGTTACCTGGATGATGTGAAGTTGAGGGCAGAGAGGGTGGGATGTACATGAAACTACATGTGCTGGGGCTGGAGTGGGGGTTCTCTGGAAGTCAGGGAAATAATCTATTACTCTAGCTCACGTACAGATTTCAGATGTAATTTGGGGAATGTTTTGATTTTCTGTCACGTCCCTAATCAACGAGAGAGTCCCTTCTTGTCAAATCTATTGAGATTACAAGCAAGGAGCATGCGTGTCCTTGATTTTCAACCTGGTAATGGCTGGTATACTGCTTAGCAGGTGGCTGGCACCTGATAAACACTGATTGACTCATTCTTTGGTCTTCTTAATTATTTCCCACACCACAGGGTCTCCTTGGGGAGGTTCTGACTTCCATTTTTCTTTCCTATCCTCGATCCATCTTCCTTATTTTTTAATATCCAAGGATCAGAAGACATAGTTCACTGAAGGGGAAGAGATTCTGGCCTACCTAGATTCTTGGGATTCCAGTAAAGATCAGTGCACTCCTCTAACAGATTCCCAAACCAGGAACCAGGAAGTCACTCCAACCTCTTTAACCCTCAGCTGCCATGTCCAGTCCCTCCACCTTATGACTTTACCTCCTCCTACTCTTCCCATCGCTGCTATCATTAACCTAATACCAAGTCAGGCTCTAAGCATCTCTTATCTACATTTTATAATTGGCCTCCCTCTTTCCTGTCCTCCTTTCAATCTGAAGTCCACATAGCCACCAGAATGATGAGTTTAAGCCTACGTAGTAGACATCAAAACCTATGAGGGGTCTAGCTCTCCTAATCTGGGTAGAGCTGATCACACTGTGCTTGCAAGGCTCCTTCCTATAAGCAAAGATAGGGATGTATTTCACACTTCTGTTCCCACTGAGAACAATGGGGAACTGACCTGGTGGATTTACCTACTTCCTACCTTAACAGCCTCATTACTCACCAACAGAGCTGCCAGCTCTTTCTCACCGGCTAACAGAACACGTCTCAGTACTTGGCATCACTGTCTCACTCCCACGTAAGCCTATTTCCTGTCCCCACCTCCTGCATAGCCCTCTGTGTTTCGCTTAAGAAACCATATAAGAGTGGTTTCCTAAAACTGTTCTCTTGCCCACCTCAAGAGCTCTCACTCCTTCACTGTTTTAGTTTCTCTCTTTTCTTATCATTGGGGCCAACCCACTTGGGTACATTCTAACTTTTCAGGGTATAAGACATTTTCCCCCCACAGAGCTTACCATACATTTGTTGGCTGCATAAATCTGTTATATTATATCTGAGTTGGGCGGGGATTTGCATTCCCTTTGCATAGACCCCCTCAAGATGGAAAGCCCTGTTCCTGTTGGCTGAATACTTTTTCCAGATCTGGAATTTGCAGGGATCTGCATTTCTTTTGCAAGAACCCTGTTTGGCTTGAGGAGAGGATGGAGGACGTTGGTATCCACATAGATCTATTCCTGAACTCTGGTTACCAATACTGCCATTCCTCACATGCTGCCCTCCTTGCCTTCCTCCTTTCCTTCCTAGAAAGCTACCTGGTTTTTGTCCAGCTCACAGTTCTTGTACTCTTGCTCTCCCTGCTCCTGGAAGGTGACGATGACGAAACCCACGAAGATGTTCATCATGAAGAAGGCAATGATGATGATGTAGATGATGAAAAAGATGGAGATCTCCACGCGGTAGTTGTAGATGGGGCCCTTGTCTTCCGTGTGGGAGTCGATGGAGCGGTACAGCAGCCTGCAGGAGGAGACAGGCCCCACAGAGGGAACTGGAGAAGCAGTGTCACCTCTGTGGAATGATGGAACCAGGACTCCTAGAAATCCCTGGGATCAAGGGAAATGGCTCTGGGCTGGGAACCAGAGGGTCTGGATTCAAGTCTCAGTTCTGCCACTTCCTGGCCATGTGGCCTTGAGTAAATCACTTAATCTCTTGAGACTCAGATTCTTCATCTGTAAAATGGAGACAATAATTCCCAACTTTCCTAACTTGTGGGGCAATTGACATAATGTACATGAAGGTGTTTTGAAACTGTCAAGAACTATTTAAATGTAACATGATTCATGGACATTGATTTCAAATTCAGAAATATTGGTAAATATTGAAACAGCTTTGCAAACTGGCATGGACTCAAAGGAGGTTAGAGTGAACATAAAATAAATCGGAGAGAAAAATAATCCATTTAGAAAAAAATACTAACACGACCCATGCTTCAGATCATCCAGAATGGTTTGATTTTATACTTAAGTGGTTTACACCTGTACACCATTCATTTGGACCTGGGCTACATGCCCCATTAAGCTTGCTACTCTTCGTGGACAGGGATTATCTCCTTCCCTTCCTTTGTAACCCTGTGAGTACTTAGCTCTTCCCTAGGTCTCGCCTACATTTTGCCATATAATAATGGTGACTTTCATCTAAGACCCATGCACCACAGGGTGGGGGTTGCAGGCATCTAGACAAAGATACATGGAGCACCTGACAGATAAGCTGCCTGCCACAGGTGATGCAGAATAAAAGGCCAGCAGGTTGGTCTACATGTGAAAGAACTGCCTCTGTAGAGGAACAAGGGCACAGGCTTTTATCTCTTTCTTACTTTCCACTGTAAATGTCAACAAGACTTTTTCTAAAGGAGACAGGGGTAAAGCCTAACAAAACAGAGACATCTCAGCTATATTTACCCACACTGGGAGTAGTAATGTGGAACTCCTTGGTGATCAAACTCCCCCCACACCTCATTCCCAGATGACATGAGGGTAATGACAGAGACTCCTGACCTTGTGGTTCATGCTGAGGTTGGGAAAGGGGGCTATAAAAGCACTCATTTTGGGTTAGAGTTTCTAAAATTTTGACTTCTCGTCTGGGGCTGTAGCTCACTGGTAGAGTGCTTACTGAGCACGTACAAGGTCCTGGGATTAACCCCCAGAACCATGAAATAAAGAAATTAAAATATTGATATTTTCTAGAAGAGCCTATGTTTCAGCAGTGACTATGGCCTACAGATTATTCTAGAAACATACCCTTATTTCAGGAGGAGGACACAAGTGTGATCTCTGGGAAGGAATGAAGGACATTAACGAAACTTGGGCAATGGGTGGATAGCCAGTGTTTGGGGCCTCCAGTATCAGGGCGGATGGACCTTGGTTTGCGTACTCACTCTGGCCACCCCTCAAAGGTTGAGACAGTGAAGAGAGCCATCATGGCTGCCAGAACATTGTCGAAGTCAAACTTGCTGTTCTCCCAGCTGCGGGGCTGGATGATGGGGTGGTCAACCTCTCCATCTTTGTATGTGATATAGTTACCCCTGAGAGAAGAGGAGAAAAGGTAATTCTGGCTTCTCCATCTCCCTTCACATTTCAAACTTGACCTGTTTCCAAATAACTCCTGGCATGCTGGGTGGGATGGAACTATCTAGAATGAAACCACACAGTTCCAGCTATTGGGAAGAACTTCAGTGGGTAGAACTTTCAGGAATAGATAGATCATTTGTCACATCAGAATCAGATTACATGTGGATAATAGCCCTGCTGTCCCTCCTCTGAGACCAAGTCCCCAATCTCCTTGAGTTAGGCCTGGGCACCCAATGCTCCAGCCTATACTTACTTGCATTCTGCCTCAGTCTGTTTGGAACTATCTGAGCAGGTATAGAGCTTTCCCTAAAAGGCAAAAGGACAAAGTGATTAGAGATGTTCCTTAATCAATGAATCCATCACAAAATGGTTAATGAGCGTCTCTGAAGCCTAGCGCTGAGCTAGGGGCTGTGGGATAAAAAGTGCAAGGTGAACAGAATCCAGATGGGGCAACGTGACTCACATACACACAGCAGCCAGAGAATAAAGACACTCACTGCTGCAAGTACCCATGGAATTCAAAAACAGGGAGCTCCAATCCAAGAAAGCTGAACTCTCTAGGAAGGTCTTGAGAGGAAGGAAGAAGTGGAGCTGGGGTGGGAAGAGGGAGTAAGATGGGAGGAAATCAGTGAAGTATATGTGGCAGGTAGGGGAGGGCAGGGGAAGAATGTTGTGTGTGAGGAAATAGAGATGAAAAAGAGATGAAGGCTGAAAAGACAAGAAACCGTGGAGGACCCTGGCCTCGAGCTGGGGGAAGGATGGATGTGATGCTACTGACAGTAAGTAATTGCTGTAGGGTCTCATGCAAGTGACACTCTCTTCCAGACAGTGAAAGTCCCCCTCCTGCTCTGGCTGGAAAGAAGGGCAGTGAACTAAAGGGTCGGCAAAGCTGAGAGGGCAGGAGGCCTTTAGTCTGGTGGAGCCTCCTTCTGGTTCCTCTCTCCTCTGGTCTGGGAAGCTTGAGTGGGGCTGTGGTTGGAGATCACATTCACCCCCGTGTGACTGGGGCTGCTGTCCTCCTCCTGTTGTATCCACCAGTTCCCCTTCTTGGGGATGCTGATGGGGAGGGAGGGATGGTGGACAGATCAGAACCAAGACCTTACCTTGAAGAGCTGGACCCCGATGCAGGCAAACATGAACTGCAGCAGTGTGGTGACAATGACAATGTTCCCAATGGTCCGGATGGCGACAAACACACACTGGACCACATGCTATGGTGGGAAGAAGGAAGAGGTAAGGGAACACAGTTTCAGGAAATTCCTGCAGCCTGAGCTTCCTTCAGTCAAGCCATGAGACCTCCTGGGAGGTAGCAGAAGCTGCCCCTCAGCCGCAAGTGGGAGAAAGCAGGCTCAAAGAGGTAAAGCAGCCTTCCCAGTGTCACAGGGTGAGTGATGGAATCCAAAGGAACACAAAGTCCCCCTTGGGGGTTCCTTTTCCAGGGAATCCCTACAGGGGCACAAGCCCTGTGAACTCTTGTTGGATAGTGGTAGGCGTACAGGGACCTCATCACCACCCAGAGATTCTGGGTTTGTGTTCCCCTTTGCAAAATTTTACATAGGAACTCAGGTTTTAAAATGGTTTCCTGTAACCATTCCACTCCTCATGGAAACAGGATTTGAGTAGGACCAGTGTATAGGCACCAACATGGCAGACTCTTGGCTTGATCACTCTCTCCTCCCTCAAGCCCAACCATCACCTCAGCTGACAGTCTACCAACTAGCAGACCCATCAATGTTTCTTAGGTTGAAGGCTTCCCACCCAGATCCATCATCTCACCTTTAGCCCCTTAGCCCTGTTGATGGCCCTCAGGGGCCTAAGTACTCGCAGGACTCGCAAGATCTTCACAACATTGATTGCACTAGACCTGGAAGGAAAAAAGGGCAGGTGGTAAGTTTCCCCTGCTTCTGAAATGATGAGGGGAGGTGATGTCCTGACAGGCTGATCCCAGGCAAACTTGACATATGGAGTCTGTCTGGGGTACTTTTTACTTCTAATTTTTACCTCTAAGAACCTGGGGCTTGCTATAACTTTGTGATTTTCCTGTTGATGAGAGAATAGAGAAACTAGGTTTGGGGATATAGTCCTGGGTTTCATCCCTAGCATGGCGACAACCACAGAAAGCATTTGACATCAATCGTTAGCAATATAATGTGCTACACAGGGGGGCATCCTGTGCACTAGTGCTGTCCATTGCGAGCCAAGTCACCTGAAGTCACATTTCCTAACTTTGTTGAGACCTAGTTTCTCATCTGAAAAATGGGGCAGCGATTAGCTCATAAGGATGCTGCAGGGATTAAATGAGAATTTTATGTGCATTATCCAGCAATGTGCTTGGCACTTATGATCCAAATAAATGGTGGCTTTTATTACTATGCCTGCTGAAGACATCACTGTACATAAAGAAAGACAATAATGCTGGAACTTCATGCCTTCTGGTTAGAGGTGATGGGGGTGGAGAGGGATTTTTGAGTGTAGATCTCTAAACACAGAACCCAGGTAGTCAAAAACCATATATATATATATATATATATATATATATATATATATCCTTTTCTGGTTCCTAGCATGACTCCAAGAAAGAATGGCTTCCACATGTCTGGGATGCCAAGGCCAAGTTAAAGATTCCAGGAGCATTAGGCTGCTGCCATGATCTGGTGGGAAGGAGGAAGGGGGGCAGCACCCCCCCACACACACAGACCCGTGGCAAGATGCCTGGATGGTTTTCAGTTGTCCATCCAATCCAGGGAGAGGTTATGAACAACACCAGTTGCTGAGCAACTCTGAAGGATGTCCCAACCCTCCCTTACTAACTCTGTGATTGAGATATTTTCTTGAGCATTAGGAGAGGAGGCCTCACAATCTGTCTTGGACACTAAAAAGCATATGACACATTGGAAGTGCCAGTTTTATTCTTCATAGTTCAGAATGATGTGCACACGATCTATAGAAAGATCCAATTTCTCTGGTTCATGGGCCTTTTATTCCCAAAGATTCAAAGGGCATTCCTATCTATCACTGCATCTTTTCCCCCAGTGTCTCTGAGAGGGAGTCAGTTTGTATTGAATCACAATGGAAAGGATTTAAAGGTCAGATAGGGAAAAAACAGACTGAAAAGAGAAATTCTTAGTTGATTTAATGGTAGTGTTGGGGTTAGAATCTAGATCTGTAAACTCCCAGGCAGAAAATTTTGAGAAATATAATTGATATCCATAGAGCAGAGTCTCACTTCCATGGCCCCCATCTCATCCTAGAGGCTGACCATTAAACAACCTTGGGATGGGAGACTCAGGACCTCTGAGACTTACACCTATTTCTGCCATTGGCATGACCTTTAGCAAGTCTCCTGATGTCCTGAAGGTCATATTTCCTATTCTTTGAGCTGATAACTGCACCTTGCACTGCCTACTTCATAGAATTTTTTTTTTGAGAGGATCATGGAAAAATGTGTATGTGAAAGTGCTTTGAAAGTTCCAGTGCAGAATCGACATGCTCAGCCTTAGAATGTGGTAGAAACCAGTAATCAGATTCTTTCAGACCTAAGAAAGGTTTGAAAGCTAGACAGTACAGGGAAATCACCTGGAGAGCTTTCATAACTGTAGCACCAGACTGTACCCCAATCCAAAAAATAAAAAATAAAAAATTCTGAGGGTGGGATCCAGGCAAATGTCATTATTTTAAGTTTCCCAGGTGATTCCTTTGTGCAGCCAAGATTGAGAATAAGTAATTTATCTCTCTCTGTCTCTTTTCACCATACACACAACAGGTGTTTTGACTAAAAAGAGAAGTAAGAGAAAGGGAGAGTAGGGATGGCTCAGAAGGTCAGGGACAGGTCAGGGCAAAGGCAGGACCTTGGCAGCTGAAGAGCACATGGTAGAGGAGGTAAGAAGGTACTGGGGACACCTGTTTCTTTATAATGGAGCCTGGCCCTTTTTCCTGTGGCAAAATCTAGACATTTAAATGTATTTCTGAGGATCGCATACCCTCATGTATCACACCATTGAGGATATGAACACAAGAAACGAAAGCCACTATGTAGTGCAACCTCAGAGGCCCTATGCTATCATAGTCCCATTGTGGTGGCCCTGCAGGAAGGCTCTCTAGAGCTTGGTGTCTTCTCTGACACCCATTCCTAGCTGATGACCTCATCTTGGGCTAAGGGAGCCCTACTCACTGAATGCCAAAGGAGATGAGGGACACGCTGACCACCAGCAGGTCTAAGATGTTGAAGTAGTTCCGGCAGAAAGAGCCCTTGTGTAGGAAAGCCCCGTAAGCAGTCATCTGCAGGAAGGGACAGAGAAACAGGGTGTAAGTGACCCCAGCCCAAGTTCCACAAACCACCCACACGCTCATCACCCTTTCCTCCCACAGCGTCCCTTGGGCAGGTCCCAAGCACTGCCCAAGGGGAACAGGAAGGACTGAGGAAGGAGATTTGGTGGCCAGAAAAGGTTCTTCAAACATTCACTCAACCACCAAAGAATTCCCCAGCTCAGGATGTATAAGGGCTCCTACTCCTACCCAACAGCAGTCTCTTCATGATTGTGCTCAAAGCCCTTTCAAATGGCCCACCACCCCTCTCTGATTTTTCTCTTCCTCATCACAAGTCTATGATGGCTCCAGTATGTTAGGGCCCTTGACTAATGTTCTTTAGGCCAGTTTACCCTGTATGCACATTTTCCACCCTCTGAACTTCACAGCCAACTGAAACACTCGTTATCTGGGAGATGGAGAGAGCATGTCCAGAAGGGCGACCAACTGTCCTGGTTTGCCTGGGACTTGCTCATATCACTAAAACGTCCTGCATCCTATACAAACTGGGATGGTTGGTCACCCTGGTGTCCAGAGAAAAGTTCTACCAATAACTGTGGCAATTAGCATCCCTCTCCTCTTTGGCTTTCAATAGTGCTTGGGATCTATGTCAAATGTTCTAAGCTATTTCCCTTCTAGACAGAATCTGGAGCTCTTTAAGGAAGGGCATGAACCATGTGTTTAGAGAGGGTAATGTGAGACAAAGGTGAGGAATGCAAGTTCTGGAGCCAGACCACCTGATCTGAATCCCAACCCTCCTGAATTTTATTTGTGTGGCCCTGAACAAGGTTCTTAACTTCTCTGTGCCTTATTTTCCTCATCTAAAAATGAGGATGATGATAATATCTACTCCACTGGGATGTTAACATCAACTGAGTAAATATATAAAAGATACTCGGGACACTCTTCTGCAGATACTATGCTCCGTATGTGTCACCTGTCACTGTATCTTGGATTTGAATTCTGGATTCTTCCTGTATAAAGGAAGTTGAGTTTCCTCATCTATAAAGTGGGGATATGATTCCCTTGTCTTTGTGAGGTTCCTACAGGAAAACAAGGCAGGACTTTGAAAAAACAGAACACATGAGATAATGATTATCGTTGCAGGATCTGGCTATGATTACCTCCCTCAGAGCTAGAAGAAAGCTGTTCACTGTAGGTGCTCAACCAATAGCTTTTACCATTTTGTGACATGAATGAATGGCCTGTGGATATCCGGGATAAGGGCTGTGAAAGGCCATGGGCCATGAAGCATCAGCTAAAGGGAAAAATTTGGAGCTGATGGCCATGAGGCTGAGAACAGCTCCCCGGTCATCTGGGGTCCAGTTTATCTCTTTGGAATCAGAGCATGCCCAGGGTGGTGTGTCTGCAGAGCAATTCAAAAGCAAACACAGGGGGAAATTGGCAAAAATAGCTCTTGCAACCTAATTCTTTCTATTTATCTCCCGAAGCAGGGGATCACAGGGGATTCAGGCACCTGTGTTCTGCAATAGTTTTTAGAAGTGGGGAGGTTACATAAAAGGTTGCAGGGAAATATAGTTGCCCATCTCTCCTGAAGGCCTTCCATCTGGAAGGCACACTTTCTTTGTCTTGGTGATGACCTGGGACCCCAGAGATTGGGCTCAGGTGACTCTTGTGGTTCATGCTCACCAAAGAGCCCCCTGTGCCTGCAGAAGGCTGAGCACCTTCCCCAGCAACCTCACTTTTAGGCTTAGGTGTTGTGTCTGGTCCCTTCTTGTTCTGGTTCTTGTAGAGCCCTCTGTATATGGGAAAAAGCATTCCTTAGATAGGTAGGCAGTAGGGATCAGAGTGCCACCTTCTGTCCTTTGCTTCTGCTTGGTCAGAGGACCCTTAGAAGGAGACCAGCTGTTTGGAAACTGTGCATGTGCATGTGGGTTGGGAGCCAGAAGGAGAGTGGCTGTGGGATAAAAGACAAGTGGGTGCTAGAGAAAGGGGACATTTATCTGAAAGCCATGTGTGGCATTCAGAGCACCAGAAAAAGCCAGGTTCAGGGAACTCAGTGCAAGCTGTCTTTCTACCCTCCTTTACTGATTGCTCCCTCCTAGTCCCTTACTTCTAAAAGTTCTAAGTCATTAACCAGGAAAGGTCTATTGCCACTCTGAGGAGGGAAAAGGGACAGGCTGTAAAGTCACTAACTCTGAGCTGGAAGGGCAGCAATTCCCTCCTCAGTCACAGGCAATAGTCTAGGCAGCCCTTCCGACCACATGTATCTCCACTCTTCTCATTTCCATGCTTTGGTTCTGATTCTACTTTTTCTTCTCTGTGTCAGTCCTTTGCATTATTAAGGTGGATGGTCCGACATGTGCTTTCTTTTCAAGGCCAAATCACCCTAGATCCTCCCATAGTTCCTTAGGGTAAATGAGTCTAGTGGATGGCCATCATAGCCTTCGGGTTGGTGCAATGCTGGACCTTCAGGCTGGGCAGAGGGACCCAGTGAAAGGGAAGTGCAGGAAGTGCACTGGTCATGGGGTAAATACTCAGAAGCAGTGAGCGTAAGAGAGACCAGAAGAGGAAGAGAGAGGAAGGGGAGAGAAGGGCCTTGCCATGACAATGCTTGCAGAGAGACTTTCACTTCCGCTTGTATGGCAACCTTGAAGGAGCGATGGCACCATTGAAATCCACGAGGGAGCTCTGTGGCGGGGGTTGGGGGGCATCCATGAGAATGGGGGCCTTGGGGTTTTTCTTGTCCTGGGAAAGAACTTTGTGTGTCTGTGTGCCTCTTTGTGTCTGAAGTCCAGGAAAAAAGCACCTCTCCATGGAAAAGTGGCTCCCAGCAGTCTCAGTGCTGCCCTGCGACTCCTGATTCCCACTCCCTGACTCCAGGAACTGAAGCCTGGCCAGATCTACTCTCCCAGAGCACGAAAAGAAAATTCTGAGCAACACTTTGGGTGAGCAACAGAAGTGGCAAAACTGCGCCACTGGGGACAAGGGCATCATGGCTGGCACTCAGAAACCACCCCACTTGAATGGTATCACGATGTGATGAAATGTCATGCTTCTCAAAGGGTTTTGCCAGGATGGAATTTTATTAGAAAAAGAAGGGTCTGCAGCCGTCAGAGGCACAATGCTGGGGTGGACACCAGTTGGGTCAGCTGCAATGATGGATGGGAAGGGGGCCTGAGCTCCTTGGGAGCGGGCACCCCAGGTGAATGTCCCAGAGAAAAGATGCTTTAGCTGAAGCTCAGAGTCTATAGCCCTTTTGTTTAGGGTGAGGGTAAAACTGACCCCTTGCTCAGAGAGCAGCACACCTTACCCAAGGTCTCAGAACTCACATCCTGCATCCCAGGTGGACTGGCTTAAGGCATTGGTTTAAAGGCTCAGAAGTATACTGGGAAAACTTAGAAACCACCTTGCGCATCACAGTGCTGTTCAGACATGGGCGCTATATGTTTTTGGGATAACCATGTTGGAGCAACTCTACAGATCTGAGCTGGCAACAGCAGGCAGGGATGGGGCCTGGGTGCTCAGGCTCCTTCCAACATTGGTTCACTCCCTGTACTTTGCTCTGCAAGACAACTCTCCCTCCCCTGGGCTTGGGGCAAGGACATTGTAACAAAAACTTTTCAGTGAGTCACTGGAGGGTCAGAAGTGATCTACAGCTGTCTGCTGAAAGGCCTTGGCTGGGAGACTGGCTCCAAATCTTGATTATTCTACGTGGCCCCACTCCAGCTTGGCCCTGATGTCTGCTGTAAGTACTGAGGAAGTTCTTGATGACAGACATCCACGGAGAGCAGCCAGAGTGACTCCTTCATGCCCCAGAGCTTTTCCACTTGTGGAGTTTGTGTTGGCATCTCTGCTAGGCAGGAGGAAGATGGGAGAATTCTAAGCAGATCTCAGATACCAACTGATTGGAGATGGCACATATGAGCATGTGTAGGGGCACTGCTGATGGCCACAGTGCCAACCAGTGAGGGGACCGTATCGATGGTGACACAGCCAAAACTGCTTACTGGTGGTCAGAGAGAGGGAGCCTGGCCATGATGGGTGGATGGGGGACTTCTGGTTTCCGAACCTGGGTAAAGTGCATGGCACAAAGTGAGGGGCACTGATTCTTCACTGCAGGCATGAGAGTCAAAAGGGAGAGTGAAGGAAATAGAAAAAAGAAAAGAGTCAGCCAGAGCAGATACAGACAAGGAAAGAGATGGACAGAGTGCATTGCTCAGGGTGCATTACCTTAAGGATAATTTCTAATGTAAAGATACTAGTGAAGACATAGTCTGCATTGCCTAGGATCTGAAAAATAAGCATAATTGGATTAGTGGCTCCGAGAGTGAACCCAACACCAACAGGAGCATGTGTGTTAGCGACAGACAGCAGCAGAGAACAAAGATAGGCGCAAGGGAGGGAGGAAGAGGAGGAGAGAGGGCCGCGGGCCTTTACCTTCAGAGCGATTTCAATGGTGAAAATGGTAGTAAAAACAATATCAAAATAAAACAGAATCTGTAAAACAAAAAGAAACAAGGAGGGATGGGGAGGGGGTGGGAGAAAAGCAGGATGGGAGGCCAGGTCAGTGGATGTTCACCAGAAAAAGAACCGCACTTCAAAAGGAGGTGCACACATTGAACCTTTTTACACAGGGACAGATGGAAAGACTTGGGGAACGAGTGGCACATAGTTAACACTGGATCTCAACGTGGGGCTGGCATAGGTAGCTCAGGGTGGAGACCCCAGACAGGTGAGGGGAGCTTCAGGGAAAGGCCTCAGCTGGTTTAGGCAGCATCTGGCTGAACGTTTTTCTCATTAACCCAACTTATTTACAAACCCAAATCCAACCAATGGGATGTTTGTCAAAAAAGCAGAGAGAATTTTTTTTAAGGGGAATTTAAATGCTTAACTCTCTTTGGTGTGACTGAACCCGCGAGCTTCCTACATTAGTGGAAATCTATATGAGTATCAACCCTTTGGGGTATGGGAGGGCATCTCCCAGGTCTACCCAAGGACAGGCTATAGGGTGTCATGCTTTATTACATCTCAAGGGATAGATCAGAGGTAGGGTCAATACCAGTCAACCACAGGAAGAGCCTGGACCAAGTGGGCTCCAGGACCTGTGAGTGTTTTAACATATGTATGGCTTCAGATCATGGGCTGTTTTCTTCATGCCCATCTGGTTGGTGTTCACCAGAGCCTTGGGTGGGTCTTCATATTTAGATCAGCTCTGCAGAAGATCATGGAGGTTCTCTACTACATTGGCACTTATGGGCACCTATCTACCAACACTTCTCAGGATATACTGAGAGCAGGGTAGGAAGTCAGTGGCCACATTTTACTAAGTTTACAGGTTATTAGAGTTTCCTGGGGAACATCCACAGGCAATCAAAGGCCTGACCTTTGCCAATTATCAAACCAACCTGAGACATTGGGCACATGCTCTTTTACTTGCTTGTGGTCCCAAGATGGGTTTTTCTCAAAGCCCTAATCTCTTAAAGAACTGTTTGTTGTGCATCTGATTATGAGGTTTAGAACTGAGCTCCTGATTAACAATGAAGTCAGCAACAGAAGCTGCGGGCCCAGTCACACTCCCAGAGGAAGGGGTGCAGAGAACAAAAGGGAGTACATACATGGTTCCTGAAGGAGGTGTGCTGGACGGGGTCCTCAGCAGCCAGGGAAATGCTGCTGAGCAGAATGAAGAAGAGGATCAGATTGGTGAAGATCGTGTCATTGACAATGCGGTGACACTGAAGGCGAAACCTGAGTGGGAAGGAGGAAAGGAGAGAGATGTGTCAGGAAAGATGTAGACACAACTCCTTGGGTTTCAGGAGCAGCTCCCCTCAATTCCTTCCACCAGCTTACAAAAGGTGCTTATTGATTTGTGGAGTGGTCTTCAGCCTGAAGTCTTACTGTTGCTGGGTAATGACAAGCCCCCATGATGTATATCTCTAAACAATTTAGTTCTGAGGCACCTTCACAGGCAGAAACCTTTGACATTTTAGAGGGTTACATATGAGATATTCGGGAATTTCTGGATTTTCAAATATTGCTGTGACATTAACAACTGGCCTTTGCTTGAGAGTTGTTTTCCTCATCATTTGGAAAAAAAAATCACTTTATAAGATCTATGTCATATTTTTATGCACAGGGAATAATATAGCTATCTGGCTAGGGGATTTGCCCTGTGTAATAGCTTCAAGTGTGCAACTTGATTCCACATCTCAGCACAATTACAAAGAACTACCCATTGGGACCTCTGGACATTCATGGATAGTACCATGTATACCTAGAGTGTGTTGCACACTATCTCATCTTAACAATAGCACAGAACCACCTTCATTTCACAGATAACAATACTGAAACCCAGGAAAGAGAGGCTTGCCCTCAAACATAGCCTATACTGTTGGGGAGTCAGGGCTTGGTCCCAGGCCTTCAGACTTCTACTGATGCCATAATGGTTGACTCAATCCTCTAAGAGACTCACCTGCTGTAGAAGAACCAAGACCTGGGAAGGACAAATTCTGAGACAATGCTGGTTTCATGAGACTTAGGAGCGGTCTACAAGGATCATTTCATTCAAATCAGCAAGCTAACAACCCACCAGTCAACCAACCAAATAATCAACCAGTCAGTTGGCCAAAAATCAACCAACTAACCAACTGATCAACCCACCCACTGAGCTGAGGTTTGCGCATGGGCATCATGGAAGGGCAGAACTGCCTAAGGGGAGATGCCCATAACAGCATTGCTGCCAGGAAACTGAATTTCAAGGCAGTCTTGAGGTGAGCCTGGAACTTTGAGGCTGAGCCCTCAAGGGACACTGGAAGAAAGCAAGCTTCCCCAGTCCCAATTTATATATACTTTAGGATTCTCACCAATGAAAAGATCATGGAACACACAAAAAGACAAAACTACCATTAGGGAAACTAGAAATAACAATAAATAACTGATTTGGACTCCAAAAGACCAGGCATTGTGCATATCAGTATAAAATGCAGAATAACTATATTTGAAATACTTAATGGAATAAAAGACTCAATCACAAATGTGATGAATCAACAGAAACTATAAGATATAGACAGATGGATCTAAAAAAAAAAACAACAACAACAACATATGGAACTAACCAGAATGCAAGAATAGTCAATGTAAAAAAAAATTGATTTAAACAGCAATATAAAATTAAGAAGAGAATTAACAAACAGGAAAATAAATCAGAAGAAATCATCCAGACAACTGAAAGAGAGGCAAGGAGATGAAAGACATGGAAGGCACCTTAAGAGAGAGGGAAGAGAGGGACGGACAGAATGAGAAGGTCTAACCCGTGTCTAATTGGAGTGCAGGGTGAAGGAACAGAGAATTGAGAAGAGGCAAAAGTTAATGATTATGGCTGCCAATTTTTAAGAACTGCAGAAGAACACAAATCCAGAATACAAATACAGAGTGAGGAAGTATAACATATGCTAAGCAACACAAGAGAAACCTATGCCTCAACACAAGGTAGTAAAGGGTTAGTTATTTACAAAGGAATAATAATTAGAAAGCCAGCTAACTTCACAGTGGAATAACACTTTGATGGACCAAAACTGTTAGTCCCAAATTATACCCATAGCTAAATTACCTTTTAAGAATAAGAAACGAAAACAATTACAGATGAATACAGGCCAAGTGGACCATAAAGGAACTAAAAAACTTCTATAGAATGTGCTTTAAAAGGAAGAAAATGTTTGCAGAAGAGACTGGCATGCATAAAAATGGTCAACAAATGAAATGGTAAGTTATATGTAAATCTAAATATACTCTGCCTAAATCATCATCATCATCATCATCATCATCATCATCATCATCATCATCGTCATCATGTCTAACTTGTTGGGTTCTAAATAAAGTTCAGGACTAAGCAATAATATGTAAATTGGGAGGAAATTTGTGAGTTAAAATACTCTAAACTCCTATTGTACAGAAGGAGGCTTAAGATATTGGTTAGCTTTTCATTTTGTTAAGTTAAATAAACTTAATAAAGTATCAAAGGTAACCACCCAAAGAATAGTAATAGTTTATACATTTCAAAACCTGGAGAGAGCTCTGCATGGTGGTGCACACCTGTAAGCCTGGAGATTTGGGAGACTGAGGCAGGAGGATAGCAAGTTTGAGGCCAACCTTAGTAATTTAGTGAGACCTTAAGAAACTTAGTGAGATTCTGTCTTGACATAAAATAAAAAAGGGTAGGGATGTAGCTCAGCAGTAAAGCACCCCTGGGTTAAATCCCCAGTACCCAAACAAAAACAAAACCAGAAACAAACAAACACACAAAACCTGGGGAAGAAAAAAATAAAAGCAGGGGCTTGGAGTGTAGCTCAATAATATAGCACGTGGTTAGCATGTACAAGGCTCTGAGTTCAATCTCCAGCACAAGCAAGTAAATAAATAAAATAACATTAGTATAAATAAGCAAATATATGTAAATAAATGCAGATCATCTGATTCAGAGTCCAGGACTCTCTTCCTTGACTCAGAGGCTGTTTACATAAGTTGAGGGAGTTGAGAGAGTCCCAGGTTCCTTGCACAGGTACAGGTAAGACATAGGCATGGGCTGGGTCTGTATCACAGAGGCAGCGGAGTCCACCCTCCTCACCATTCACACACACCTGTTGTTGGGGCTGAAGATGAAAAATGCACTTGCTTCTGGCATGGGTACTGCCTTTTCCTTAAGGTGCAGCTCAGACAGTGGTCGTGGGCGGGGCCCAACAGGCATCTCGGGCTCCTCCTCATCCTCTTCTCCTGTAAGAGAAAAACCACCATTTTAAATAACTACCACTTCCACTGATTCTTACCATTGTGCACCTTTTTCCTGAGACTTTCCTATTGGTAGGAATCAAGACATCATTTGTATCCCTGAACATGTAGAGGATCAATCAAGACAGATATTCTGGGGACTACTGGAGTTTATGTCTGAGAGGGACAGACTTCCCTGGCAGTACTTAATAAGAGGGGTTGTAAGTAGAGTGGAAAACTTGTCCTAGTTTACTTCAACTGCCTGGTTTTAAAACTGAAATTTCCATAGTCCAAGACACCACCCAGTCTTGGGCTAATGGGCATTTTGGTCATCCTGGTTGAAAGGCATTGGAAAGGGGACTAGATAAAACCAGGCATTGCCATTTTGGCTGCCATGAGGAAAGGGAATTGCTTAGTTTGTCAATCCCTTACAAACAACTCCATTCTTGAAAGTTCCAGGAATTTAAAACCAACACTTTCCCATTTATGAAACTCTAACAGAAATCATGTGCTCTAGGGGTACCCAGACAACAATGCTGACTGTAAAGGCCCCTTCATTAGAAGGTTTAGATACTGACTCCAGTCCTTTGTGCTCCTAGCCAGTGGCCTCATTAATGTAGACTGAAGTCAAAAAGCTTGCTCCTTTGCTTGCAGCCCATTGCCCATGGGAAGAACCACTGCATACTGTGAAATGCACTCAGACATGTCCGGCACGGGAGAAGAAACAGCGTGACTTAAGAACACAAGCTCTCCAGCCAAGTGCCTCTTGCACATTGTGACTCTGTTTCTTTCTGTCTATGAATGTTTTATTTAACCTCCTTATGCTTCATTTCTTCATCTAAGTTAGAACAATAACAGCATATAGGCACCTAGAATGGTGTCTGGCACATGGTGACTGCTGTATTTACTTTATTTACTGCTGTATTTGCCCTCTCCATCCACAGGACAGAATCTAAGCTTGAGAATTAGTGCTCAACATCTTTCTCAGTCTGATCTGTAACTGCTGCTATGCTCTATCAAATTGTCTACTCCCACCCACTGAGATTGGCTAGTGTACCCCCACATTCATGCCTAAGCAGAACCTCCAGAATATGCCCTTATTTAGAAATATGGTCTTTGTGGATGTAATTAGCTACGTTGAAGTCATGTTGGACTAGGGCAGGCCCTAAATCTACTATTGGTTTTCCCTTGTAATAAACATTCAGAGACACAAAGGCACACACAGGGGAAAAGGCCACATGAAGACAGAGCCAGAGATTGGAGTGGTGCATCTACAAGCCCAGGATTGCTGGCAACCACAAGAAGTTGGGAAGAAGGGAGACAGAATTCTTCCACAGAGCCTTCCAGAAGGAGCACGGCCCTGTTGTCACCTTGATGTCAGACTTTAAGCTTTAGAACTCTGAGACCAGTTTAAGTTGCCCTTCATCTCCTTCTCTGCAGAATTAGTAAGGACTCCCACTTCAGACAGTTTCCTTTATCTGGCTCTCCTGAGTACCGGGGCTCTGGGGAACCATCTTCCTCTGTGACACCTTGGACCTCTCACATTTATAAGGCACTGAGAACACAAAGCCTCAGATACCTGGCTTTAAATGGGTCTGTCCCGTCTTTCTATGTGCTGAAAATTCTAGAAGGAAGAACCACACCCTGATTTTGATGATGATTAAACTTCCACAACTTCAAAAGAAAAGGGGCAGGTGGAGACTCATCTGTCATGGGAAGAGCATCTTAGGAACCCAGCCATGCCTTGCATGCTCTCTCTTCTTCTGGTTAAAATGAAGCTGGGGGGTGGGGGGGGGGGAAGCTCAGTGGTAGAGCACTTGCCTAGCACCTGGGAGGCACTGGGTTCCATCCTCAGCACTTGGTGGGGGGGGGGGGGCGGGAAGCCAGGTAGTGCAGAGACAAAAATTCCTGGCACAAAAGTAATTCTTTATCAAGCAAGAAGCATTTAGGCACCAAGGCTTTTTTGGAGAACCAGCAGAATATATCCATAAATCAGATCCTATCCCTAGGGTCATTAGAGCTGACCAGCAAGGCAATTAATATTTTCAGAGGAGAGCTGCAAGATTAAAAAAATTGTGTGAAAGCAAAGAATTGAAGCTTTCTGATTCCTGAACCTTGCTGTGTAAAAGAAAGTAGAATAAGTAAAACCAGAATTGGTCCAAATCATATTCACAGGTAAAATTTAATAAGGAAAGATTTAAAATTTCTGCCCAGGTGTTTGTATTCTTTTCAGTTTTGCTCTAAATGGGCCAACATTTTTGTATTCATGACAATTTGATAACAGGTCACTTAATGCTTATTTGAATCAAGTATATTTATAGAAAACCATATTTATTAGCGTTGTGCCAATGTAACGTCCTAAGGAATGGTTCTGCACACTCTTGCATCGGCATAGACTGTCTTGCTGCTTAGGAAGCTCTACCCTGACTTCCATTCCTGGGGTAAGCAAGGCAGTTGCTCCATCAGATACACCTGCTGAACTGCAGGCATCATTCTTAGAGGACATGATTTCTGAAGGACAAACTCAAATTTGTAAAAGGACAGAAATTTGACAGCATGCGATGCCAGCAGGTATCATGGATAAAGAGGGAGGCTGACAGATCAGGAAAGGTCAGATGAAGTTCATTTTTGGGCTGGCAGCTGAACCACCTGGACCCTGACTCCTAAATGCCAGTAAAATTCCTTCAGGGTCTTTATTTTCTCTTTTCTGTTCTTGGGGGTTTGGAAAAAAGTGTGATGAGTCAGGTAATGCTGCTGCTTTTCTGAATGGCAGTTTAGAGTATTTAAAAGTGAAAGCAGGGGCTGGAAATATGGCTCAGTGTCAGAGCCCTGGGTTCATCCCAGAACTGAACACACAAACCGAACAAGTGAGCAAATAGGAAGCACTGGACAGCTGAATACCCCATCTTAGTCTTTGGCATCCCTTGCCTCCTCCTCATTTGATACTCAATGTTTGTCTCTGCAATTTTGCTTAAGGCCAACTGGAATAAAAACATTATTTGCCTAGTGCCTACAGAGCACTGAACCCAAGGCTGAGAACACAAAGCCATGGTTCTTGTCCTCATGGAGCTTACATTTCTCAGCATGCGAGCCTGCTAGCAACCCAAGGGTAATGCATGATTAGCAAGGACCAAACATCCAGGGCAGAGCTCTGCCTGAAAGTATAGGAAGAGAAGTCTGAGGATGCAGTTTCTGTACCAGATATCTGCTCTATACTGGCTCAACTAAAAAACCTGCTATGCTTCATTCTTCTTTCTCTCCCTCCAACCTCTAAGCCATTGATAAATCCAGATGGCTCTATCTGCAAAATGAATTCCAAGTCCAGGTTCTGCCCTTAACCATCAACTGCCCCCTTCCTCACATGGCACCCAGAGTGAAGTGAGTCCTTGAAAGGATAAGGAATTTTGGTGACTGTCCAGGTGCATGGTCTTTGATTTATTTAATTTATTCAAATAAATTAATAAATTAAAAGCAGAATGTTGTGGTTTGAGGCCTTCCTGGTGTCCCATCTCATCTCCCAGTGCTCTCCCTCTGTATTTGTGTGGTCAGTAAAGGGTTTTTTTGAGGATGTGACATTTGGTCTAAAATCTGAATAGCCTGAAGGACTTGAACATTTCTGTACCAGATATCTGCTCTATACTGGCTCAACTTGGAGGTGCAAGTTGAGGTGCACTAGCCCACTTGGAGTCCTCTGTGGCCAAGTACATACCACCTAAGAGATCATGCACCCACTCTTCCCTCCACCCGGAGTGCTCATCCCTCTGACTTCCATGTTCAAGTTCTTCAGGCTATTCACATTTTAGCCCAAATGTCACATCCTCAAAAAAGCCTTTACTGACCACACAATTAAAGCAGCTCTGGTTTGTTTTCTTGTATGTTTCTCCATTGAAATGTAAACTTCAGGAGGGCAGGGCCCTTCCCTGTCTTGCCTAGACACGTATCCCTGGGGTCTGCACAGTGCTTGGCTTACAGTAGGTGCTTGATAAGTAGTTATCAAATGACACATTATCTCCAAGGTTCCTTCCAACTCTCAGTGTCTATGACAAGAGTATAGCTCTGATACAACTTCTTTAACCTTTCCAACTCCCCCACCCTCCCAGTCAAGACCCCCCTTTCCCATGAAGTCCCTCCTGCTGACTTGACCACATCTCACTGCTCTTTTTGTGCTTGGACCCCTTAAAATGATCAGAGCATCCCCCAGAACCTCTGATGCCATACGACACAATTTCTGGTGTCACCTGCTTTTTTAAAAAAGCAAATTTGTACTCGTTCATTTCAAGTTCTTAGAGGTTCTTAGGAACACCTCTATTTTCATTCAAATAAATTAATAAATTAAAAGCAGAATGTTGTGGTTTAGATATGAGATGTCCCCCAAAAGCTCATGGGTGAAACAATGCATGAGTTTTCAGAGGTGAAATGATTAGATTGTGAGAGGTTTAACCAACTAGTAGATTGATCTTCTGATATTCAGGATAAACTGGGCAGTAACTGCAGGCAGGTAGGGTACGGTTAGAGGAAGTTGTCAATGTGGGTGTGACCTTGTGGTTTATATTTGCCCTTGATGAGAAGAGCTATCTCTGTGCTGTACTGTTTTGAGTGCTTCATGCCTATCCGCCATGATGCTCCATCTCACCTCAGGCCCAGAGTTATGGAATTGGCTGACCATGGACTGAACTTCTGAAACTGTAACTCAAAATAAACTTTTCCTCCTTTAAGTTGTTCTTTTCAGGTCTTTTGGTCTCAGCAACACAAAAGCTGACTAAAACACAGAATGATAATTTTTCTTTGCATAAAGGTTTTCTTTGTGCATGATGGATGCATCTATCTACTATAAATTGAATATCCCTAATCTGAAAATCTAAAATCTGAATCCTGAATTTGAATTTTGGAGCATTTCAGATTTCAGATTTTCAAATTAGGAGTGGTCAAATGGTCAAGTTCATGCAAACATTCTGAAATCCAAAATACTCGAAAATCTGAAGCATTCCTTGTCCCTGGCATTTCAGATAAAGGATAATCAACCTGTAGCACTATGGGATAATCTTGAGATGAAAACCAATGGATAACATTTTTGAGACTGAACAGAGTGGGGAGGACCCTAGGGTCACTGCAGGGCTGCATGGCCCCTCTGCGTAATTTAGAAACAGTCCTTCTGGGTATGACTAGTCCACTGAGGGCTGGATTCCAGCTCCCATTCAGCCACCATGTTGCATGCTTTGGTACAGCTGGACATGTAAATGCAGCGGACCTGGTGAGAGGGTGAGTGAGGGGAGCAGGGAAAAGGAAACAAAGGACAGTGTGGAAGTGCTCTAGTACTGGCCCTTCCCGTCTAAGAGTTGGGCTGAGGCTCCCTTCTGGGGGGTATCTGCATGACTAGGTACAACAACGACCAGCTGCCCACAGGCTGCAAAAGCAGGAGGGGCCATGGTCAGGGACCAATGGTAGGTCAGGATCTTTGCCTTTCATCATTCCAGAAAAGCAATGGGAAAGAGAGACTGACAAGACCAGAGACATCAGGCAAATGAACCTTCAGAAGCATCTCGGGGAACTTCTGCTGCACTTGGCACAAAATGACCCAGGAGATGACCTGCAGAGGTGTGGTCATCACGGAGGTAGAGCTGGGAGACACAGCTACTTGGCCTTCAAGGGGCCAGGTAATGTGTGGAGCCACCGACTTTAGGAACATGCTGCTTTTGGGCCTCCGGGAGCAAGAAAATGAAAACCAGGGATGGAGAAAAAACAAGGGGCCTGGGAACTGGGTTAACCACCCAAAAGGAAGTGGTAGTGGGGTGAGGGCAGCCTCAATTGTCTATGGCCCCGAGGTCTCAAACTTAGGGTGCTATAATTTGTATCTTGAATGTCCCTCAAAGGCCCATGAAGGTTTGGTCCTCAGCCTGGCACTTTTCGGAGATGGTGGAACCTTTAGGAGGTGGGGCCTAGTAAAAGTACATTAGGTCACTGGAGGGGTGCCCTCGAAGGGGATATTGGGAACCTGGCCCTTCCTGTCTGTTTTTCACTTCTTTGCCACCACAAGGTGAGCCGCTTCCTGCTATGTGCTCCCCCTATAATGTGCTGCCTCACCACAGACCCAAAGCAACAGTGCCTGTACTGAAACTTCTGAAATACTGAGCCAAATAAACCTTTCCTCCCCTTAAGTTGATTATTTCAGATATTTTATTATAGCAGTGGAAAACTGACCAACAGCAAAGGTAAAGTGATAGATGGAACCAAGAGAAATGAAGACGAAGGTCTGCGGGAGATTAGAGAAGAGTGGCCCCATGATCAGTCCAAAAAGTCTAAAGAATCTGAAGAATCAGCAGAGCATGGCCCTGTTCCAAAGCACAAGCATCCCAAGAATCCACAAAGCCACCCCAGACAGTGTCATGCTGGGTCAGCAGAGAGACATTTCTATGAGAGCCCACTTAGTGACAGTGTCCTCATTAGTCCTTTTTCTCATTGATGTTTCCTCTTCTATTTCATTACAGCAACAGAAAAGAGAAAAGCCAGTAGTCTACTTAGAACAACAGAATTTGAGGTTGTTGTCACAGATGCAAGAGGTGTGTTATCCTACAGCTGTGTGGAATGGACAGGTCTGGGCCTGACTATATCTAGATGTGTGTATGTGCGTGCGTGTGTGGGTTGTATGTGTGTGTGTGTGTGTGTGTGTGTGTGTGTGTAAAGACCCTCAAGTTTTGTACAGGGAGGCTGGGTCTTAGAGGCCAGGCAAGCTTGGGATGGGATCTTATTGGGGCCCAGAGGGATTTGTTCTATTATTCTCTCTCTCTCTTTCTCTTTTCTTTTTTACAGTGATGGGGATAGAACCCAGGGCCTTATGCATGTTAGGCAAGTGCTCTACCACTGAGTTTCACCCTCAGCCCCTATCACTGTCTTTCATTTTAAACTTTTAAAATACAATAGTAGATTTGCCTGTTTTATGTAGATTTTTCTCCATGCTCTGCCCAGAACCATATATATCCTCCTAAGCTAGCACACCCAAATTGGTTTTTCTGCTATCAGGCCCTCTTCTGCATGGTGTGAGTTCTATCTCTTCTCACTTAAATAAATCATGCTCCATTTACTCTTAAAAAGAAAAGAAACAAAGCAAAACAAAACAAGTAAAACCCTACAGGAGTAGAGACTTCATAGTGAACCTCCCTATGCCCAGTTTCAACATGTACTGCCATTTCACTGATTTTGTTTCACTTACCTCTTCTACTCCCCCTTTTGGAGGGGCATTTAAAAATTAATTTCTAAATATTTCAGACATAAACACTTAAGTGTTTTAAAAACAGAACTATCATAATATTATACCAATGTGATTAACAAAATCTACTCAAAATCATTTAGTTCCCAGTCCATATTCAATTCCCCCTAATAATCTAAAAAAAAATCTCCTTTTAAAATTTAAGTTGCTTTTTCAGGATTCAAAAAAGATCTTTCCATTGCATTTATTAATACTTCTAGCAAGTTCCTGAAATTCTGTGATAGATAGCTCTCTTCATCTCCCCAGAAGGGTTTTAGGACTTCAATAGGCTCAGTGTCCCAACAGGAAACATTCTACTCTCCTTTGTGTCTAAGTCCAAGATACCAAATTCTTACTTCCCTGAAGGGAGAGCAGAGTGGTGGCCTGGTGAGCAGCCTGCTTCCAGGATTAATAGAAAACACCTCCACTGTCTTTGCAGCTCAGGTAGAGAACAGGTAGAGGGAAAGCGACAAGGAAAAACTATCTTTACTCAGAATCACAGAAGGTTTTCAGCTACCCAACTTGGTTACCAATCCCAGCACAGCCTAACCTACACAGAGAAGGGTCAGTGAAAGCCACTGTGGTGGTATGTGTTGACTTCCAGCTTGAAGTTGGTGATAATCATCTAGGTTAGAGGAAGGCAAGCCCTAAGATTGTCCTGGGGACTCAGCTACAGGAAGCAGAGAGAGATAAGGTAGGATTCTGACATTAAAACCTTTCTAAAGGAGACCGCCTGCCAGTTCACACATCTGATAGATGCACAAGAAGATGGTGTCAGCAAGAGCTCTTTTTATAATAAGAGACCTGAAAGCATCTTACTGAGCAACAAGTAGGACATCTGTGGTGGCAGCTGTCTTGGTACTCAGTAATATCTCCTGAGCAAGGGCAGATTTGGAATTGCCTATTATTATTAGGCAAGCATAATGCTGCAACATATGCTATACCAATAAATTACATGAATTAATAATGATCATATAGCACATGATATAATAAAACCTTAATTGCTCATAGAATCCAGCTTCCAAAGGACAAAAAGAGGAGTACAGATGGAGATTGGATAATGGATACTCCAACACACTTAGATAGAAGGAAGAAGTACTAACATTCTACATAGGGGATGGGAGAACTATGGATCCTAACATGTTATATATTTTATGAAGAACTAGAATAGATTAGCTCCAACGCTGCAAACTCAAAGTAATGCTAAGGAAGTGGAAATGTTAATTGCCCTGACTTGATCACTATATATTTTATACAAATATCAAAATAATCACATTGATCCCCATAAGTATGCAAAATTATTTACATGTTAATAAAAAGGTTAAAGACATTTAAGGAGATAGAGATGTTAATTATTCTGAATTGATCATTACGTACTGTAGGCACATATTGAATTATTACTTGGTACCCTATGCATTTGTACAATTGAAATAATGACTTAAAATAAGTAAAAGTAATTACAAATTTTTTAAAAACGCCACTCAAATGAGTTCTCAAATGCATTCAGATATTACTATTACAAGGAAACCAGAATCAAAGTTTTCCCCAAGATGGTAATGATAATGCTTCAATATACAGCCAAGATGTTCAGCAGTGCAAGGTACTTGGGGAGGGAAAGTGGGACCATAGGTCCCCAGTGCACAGCCATCCTGCATGGCTAGCCCCAGCTTCCTGATCTCAGAGTCAGTGTGACAGGTACCTGCAGCCTCTGGGTTTGGGTAGGAACTTTTATCCTCATTCTCATTGGGTTGGAGGTCGTCCATGTTTATCTAGGCAGTAGAGGAGATAAGAAAGAAGAATTAAGTCAGATAAGTGCCACAGTTTTCAGGGCTCAAAATAGACTTGAAATTGCATTATATTAAGTGACTGAACTCAAATATTTATACTTGTCAGTGTGCACACCCTCTTGAGGACATTAGCAGAAGGCTGGGTTCAACCCACCATGCCTTCTCATCATCTACTGAACCCTCCTGTTCCAGCCCCATGGCTTCTCTGTCTCCTTTGGGTAGCTTCCTTCTTTCTCCATTTCTTGGGTGACTGGCCTTCCTTTCTCAATGACAGCCCCCACAGCTCCTGGAAGGAGGCAGCTACTCACCTTGGTGGTGGGGGGAGACTCTCCATCAGCAGTAATGGATTTCAGCTCAATTTTCTCCTCCTTGGTTTCCTCCACTGCTGGCTTCTCCACTGCCTCTTGTTTCTTCTCTGGGCTGGCAGTCCTGGCCGGTCAGCAGGAAGAAAAAAAAAAAAAAACAGAAATAAATGTTTACTGGAGTGACAGGAGGCAGTGTAGACAGGAACTACCTTGTGTTTGGTAGGGTCATTGGGCGCAGAACCCCTGGATCTACATTCATTGATCTTTTCCCAGGGTATGCTGCAAACATGGCTTAATCCCAAGTGCCACTGGACTGAGCCATCTCTGGCTCTGTCTGGCATTTTGGTGGCATCTTGTAGCTACTCAGTGGCTTCAGTCCCTAAATCAGGGAACTGTTCTGAGTCTTGTTTAGGATTGGTTCTGGGAGGAACTCTACTTGATACCCAGCAGAGGCATGGCCAAGGACAGTCCTATCTAGATAGCAATGGAGCACAATGCGGGACCCAACACTGGGTCTTTTGCCTTCCCAACACTGCAGATGGTACAAAATAGTGAGGAAGCACTGCTCCTTAAGCTGGAGCTATTTCCCCTCTGAAAGCTGCCTTCCTCCCCTCTCCTCCCATGGCTTCAAATCTCAAAAGCAACCCCCTGACTTTCTAGACAGGTAAGGAAAGGCAGCACCTTTGTAGAGACTATCATTCACGATGGTCCTTGTTTCTGAGCAATGCCTAGGCATTAAGGGAGAGGACCAACTTACTGCAGGAAGCCCCGGACCCAGTCCCTTTCAGAAGGATCGCGCCTAGCGGTTGGTGTCATGCCCCTCTCCCACCAGTGAGAATGGCATTCCTGAACTGGGCTGGGTGAGCTTAGAGGGTTACCTGGCCAGCTTCTTTCTCTCTTTCTCTTCTTCCTCTTCCTTTTGGGCAGAGGTGAGACTCTCGGCATCAGCCAGGTTGTCCACAGCAATGGCCAAGAATACATTCAGTAGGATATCTGTTTGTGTCCATTCTTAAAGAAAATGACCTTGGCCTTGGGGTGTTTGATGGGCATAGGGAGCAGGGAGGGTGCAGGACATGCAGAAGTGGAGTTCCCCAGCAAGGCTCACTTCGAGGGGTTCAGAGCCCAACAGTGTCTCTTCATCTCTTCCTTCCCCATGACCCTGCTCACTATCAGGAGTTCTCTAGGTGGCTGAGATCAGGATAGCTTGCAGGCTGGAGTGGGGCTGTGAGTGAGGCAGCAGGCCCTGCCTTGCTCTTTAATTGCTGGGTTTCATTATTGGTTTCCCCACTGAGATGACTGGCTGTAATTGACATTATAAGCAGTATTGTCTCTAGCAGAATGCAGAATGCTCTTAAGAGCAGTTCATTATAACTGGGAGCTGAGGAGGTGGCCTGTACCTCTGCCAACTCTTAATGTGAGCCTGTACATACAAAGACCCTTGGAGGGTTTGGTTGGAGCTGGCCAAAAGCTTGGGAATTCCTAACTGAAGCAGTCATTTGTCTGTTTCTCCCCACCCTGCCTCCCCACTTCTTACCAACACAAACACTGTGGATCAGAAAACTGCAAAAGAGATAGAGCTTAAAGGGTCTTAAAGTTAGTTAAATTGACCTTCACCCCTGAGCACCCAGAAATTCACACCATTTCTAGGACAGGGAAACCGAAGCCCAAGCAGGTCAAGGGCTTGTCCAAGGAGGTTACTGAACCCCTCACCCTTGGGCCCTGGAACATAGTAGGGGCTTTGCATGCATCATCCTGTTCAAACTCACAATGACCCCTTAAGTAGCAATTACTATTATTCTATTATAGGCGGAGTATCCCTTATTTGAAATGCTTGGGACTTCAAATTTTTTAAGATTTTATAATATTCACATATAAATAATGAAATTTTTTGGTAATGGGACCCAAGTCAAAACATGAAATACATTATTCACATATACCTTGTACATGCACCTGATGGCAATTTTATGTAGTATCTTAAATAATTTTGTGCATGAGATTTATGATGTGGAGTTTCCCACTTATGGTGACATGTTGATCAGAAAGTTCTGAATTTTGGATTTTTGGCTTCTGGGTGTTCAACCTATAGAGCATTTGCAGATACCAAGGTACAGAGCCTTTAATTTGCTGGAGGTCTTGAGCTGGTACAATGTGAAGCTTTGTCTGTAGTTTTAGTGTTTGTGTTTTCTGCATTAGCTGAAGCTGGGGTTTGACCCCTGAGACTTGGGCCAAAGCTGTTTCTATTTACCACCCAGGTTCTGGACACAACTCCCATGGGGTTCCAACCAGGGGAAGAAAAGAAGGACCTGGGTTTGAGATCCTGGGACATGATCTTAGCTGGGACCAGGAAGGATCTGTTGGGTCTGCCTGTGACTAAAGTCCTGGAGAACAAGTTCAGAGAGAGGAGTCTGACCAAAAGCAGGGAGGAGAGATGAAGGTCATTTCAAGGATGATGGCTCGGTCCTCCTTCACTAAGCAGGTGTGACAGCCCCAGGGCTGTCAGGGGCCCCATCCCTAGGGTCCTTAGTATCATAAGTCTGTGTGAGTGGCTGCACTGGCCAGAAGGTCAGGGGGCGCCATCCACCTAGCTTACAATCAGGACGTGCCTCCTGGAGTTGAGCGACGCTGCAGCCTGAACAGATTCAGGAACATCAGTGTACATTCTCTCCCATGCCAAAGCTGTGGGCTTCCACCCAGACCCGCCTCCATGCTAAAGTGATTCTAAGCTGGGCCATGTTTTCTTCCCAGGGCAGCCTTCCCCAGCTCGCCTGGGGTCCCTGTGGATGGCAACCAGTGTTCAGCCAGAGCCAGGGCCTGCAGATGACACCCAGGTGGCATTGTGCTGCAGGCTGAGGGTGGGGGCAGCAGGGGTTGGGGGCAGCAACAAAGGATACAATTTCCACAGATGAAGAGGATGATGAAGTAAATACAGACTAACATCCCTGGAAAAGAGGGGCCGCCATAAGCCATGATCCCATCATACATCACCGAATTCCAGTCCTCCCCGGTCAGGATCTGAATGACACATTCCCACCAATAAGGGACACAGCGTTAGACCAACAGCAAACCCCAAAACTCCCCTGCCCTGCCCCAGTATGCGAACACAAATCTCTTTTCCATTTTTATCTCTTCTTCTAACCCCCAATTCTCCTCCCCAGGGTTACTAGGCTATTGAGCTGGGCAAGTTTGACTCTATCCTTAGACAAGATGCACGGCCACTGGCAAATATTACTTGGGGAGGGACTGAAAAGGCATTGTGGTCAAAATCTCTCCTACTATTTATATCCAGTGCATGAGATGATCACCGTTAGCCCTTCCTCTGGGGAGGGGGTCAGTGCCCCTTTACTGTGTTCATGGTGCCAGTGCTGTGCTAAAGCCAATTGTCCCAAACATCAGACAATGGGCATCATCCTTAGATCCTGGCAACCCGCACATATTATTTATTTTTCTCTAGGAGTCAATCTACTTTTAGACTTAAATAGTGCTACTTTAGCCCTGCTGTAAGCCGAAATAGCTATGAAATCACAACTCTCTGAGTTACTTAGGTCTTTTCCCAGGGGCAAGCAAAAACAGAACCCTATCACTCTCCATTCCCCAAAATAAGCAGACTGTTTTTCTTTTTTCTGTTTGGGCTTTCATGTAGATTTAATTTGACTAAAGGGTTACATGGCTAGGGGAGCATTTTTATTTTTTTTTTAATATTTATTTATTTTTTTAGTTTTCAGCGGACACAACATCTTTGTTTGTATGTGGTGCTGAGGATCGAACCCGGGCCGCACGCATACCAGGCGAGCGCGCTACCGCTTGAGCCACATCCCCAGCCCCTAGGGGAGCATTTTTAAACGATTAGGTTTTTCCTTCCAATGGTTTGCCCACCAGAGGAATTCCAATGGAGTTGGATGAGGGGAAACTACAAAAAGAGCTGGAGACACCAGGGACCCTCAGGCCTGATCTAGGCTGGCCTTGTTCACATTGAAAGGGTGACACTTTCCACCACCTTTTTCAAGGCTCCTTCTTCCTCCCCACCCACCTCCTCCACCACCGAACCACCCTCAGAATCCCAGCAGAGAAGAGTCCATACCTGAAACACAGTGAGGAGGGACTGGGGGAAGTTATCAAATGTGCTCCTCCGAGTCTGCATCTCATCAAAGTTGAACTTTCCTCCAAAGAGCTGCATCCCCAGGAGGGAGAAGATGATGATAAAGAGGAAGAGAAGCAGAAGCAGGGAGGCGATGGACCGCACAGAGTTCAGTAAGGAGGCCACCAGGTTGCTTAAGGAGTTCCAGTACCTGAGGACCAGACGAGGCAGGTCAGCCTGTTTTCCCTCCGCCTTCCTTCCCATCAATCCTCATCTAGGAGCCCATTGAAAGTTCTCAGATGAGTCTCTACCACCTGCTCTTTTTCTCTTTCCTGGGGCAGGGGTGGAGGTGGTGGTGTGAACTGGACTCACAATTAGAGTACAGAGCTACTAAGTTCAGGTTCCAACATCAGTAATGTGTAATGATGAAGAGATGGGGTGCTGGGGTCAGAAGCCTGAGTTCCCACCCAGCAGGGCCAGCTGCTGGCGGCATGTCCCTTTGGACAAGCCACTTAGTTTCCCTATTTTCTGCCTCCCCATCTGAAAAAATGGAGATAACAGTAGCATGTACTTCAACAGATAATTGGGATTTGCATGAGATAATCCCCCTCACCCCCAAAGGTCCATAGTATAGTGCCTGGCATGCAGTTGATAAAAGTTAGTATTTATTGTTATTATCACTGTTCACTGTTAGTCTTTAGGTATGGATTAAGAAGTATGAATTAAATTATCTGTGAGTAAGAGAGGGTGCAAGGGGGCTGGGGTTGTGGCTCAGTGTACACTTGCCTAGTACACGTGAGGCACTAGGTTCGATCCCCAGCACCACGTAAAAATAAAATAAAGGTATTATGTCCATCTACAACATTTTATATATATATATATATGGAGAGAGAGAGAGAGAGAGAGAGAGAGAGAGAGAGAGAGAGAGAGAGAGAGAGAGCAAGGTTTAGCATAGTTTCCCACATTTACCCTGTCCTAAGGATTGGGTTTTATAAAGCCATTCTTTTGGAAATTCTAGTTCAGTAGCTGTAGTTGGGGGCTCAGATATCTGTATTTTTAAAAAGCATCCCACAAGACACTGACAGCAGATAAGTTTGGGGAAACACTTATCATAACATTCCTATCATACCCACTGGGGACAGCTCAGAGCAAGTGTCCTCTGTGAGCAGGGGGGTGGTGGGTGGGATACCTGGAGAAGAAGTCCCACTCCTTAGGGTCACTGAGCCCCTCCACTATTTGTACAGAGGCCCCTCATGGCCCCAGAGAACCCCATTCTCTTGGAAAAGTGAGCGGAGGGAACCTACCAATGGCTCCTGGATGTGGCTTGGGCACTTGTGCAATGGTTAGTTCAGGATCAGGAAATACCCAGTAGCAATAGGGACACAGCTCCAAATGGGGTTGTGCCTTCCCCCACTGCTCTGCCTCTGGCCTGCCTGCCTTCCAGAACACTATTCTGATTCCCTCCTCTTAAGAGATTCCCTGCTCATCATCAACGCCTTCAGGGAACTGCTTCTGCTACTTCAGCACATGACCTGTGAACCAACCTGCGGCTGCCCCACAGCTGCACCCCAGCCCGGGCATTTCTCTCCAGAGAATGGTTCCATACTAAGTAAGGGAAAGAAGAAGATGGGCCAACAGTTTGGATGTAAACATGAACTTCCTTCCAACCTAGGTCTTTAATGTTGCTTTCTCCTTTGCAAAATCAGCCTGTTTCCATCTTTCTTTTGCCTGCCAGTCACAGTGGCCAAATTCAGGATTGGTTTGAAGACGGACCCACAGGATTTGCTGATGGAATGTGAGAGAGACATGAAGACTGACCCCTCCAGCTCCCATGTTTGCAGAGCATTCACATACATTTATTTGTATCTGTATTTATATCTGTTCTATAAATGCTCTTACAAGTTTTTTTAATTTTTGGCAGTCTTATCTCACCAAAATAGACCCTTAAAATAGTTTTGGAGGGCAGAGATCAAAGAGTTATTTTGTTTGTTTGTTTGCTTGCTTGCTTGCTTGCTTGTTTGTTTCTCCTCCATGTCCCCCATCTTTGGGGAACTTTATATAACTTCTGCATGACCCAGTGTATGGATTCAGCTTGACATGACCACAGCCATCTTGAGTCATAACTACCATGATTCCCCAGAGCAGCCCTAGTCGGTTTTTCCTGCATAGCTTTCTAGCAAACTATCAATAGACAAAACCATCGGTCATATGTGGGGTATACAAGACCCTGACTTCAGGGATGTACCTGACTCTTCCATGTTATCTTGAGATAAGCCAGGTACATTCCAGGCAGGATAAAGCCACCTTTGTCCTAACCCGTAAATACACCCCTCTTTCTGACCCAAATTGCAGGGGTCCTACTGGTCTTGCTGCCACTCAGGACCATGCTTCAAACTGTAAGTCCCCCAATAAACTGCACTCTGTGCAGACCTAGATCTATTTGCTGCTCTGTCTTGGGTCTCAAGGCACCCTGGGGCTGGTCCTCGTATTTCAAGGCTGGATTGCTCTGAAACACCCAACAAAATTGATAGGTTGCTGGGATGTTGTGGTGATCTGCTTAAAGCAAGACATAATGGAACCTCTTTAGGGGTAGAACACCCTCCCCACTTATATTTACAGTTATTTTCCAAACTTACCTGGAGAGAAAAACCCACTGAGTGCTTTATCATTTCCCAAATGCTGATTCCCAAGTCTCACCTAGAACCATGGTGCTGAGGCTTAGTCTGCACAGAGTGCGATTTACTGGGGGACTTACGGATGGAAGTATGATCCTGGGTGGCAGCAAGAGCAGCATGCTTCTTATGCAAGCTGGTCCAGTACTTGTCAATAAACTGGTATTGGGAACTAGTAACTTCAGAGCATATTGATAATGAAAATTTCCAGCTGAACAGAGGGGTGGGTATCTGCATGTGGATTGAGGTCATAGGTCCCTGAGAAGTCCTCTGTGTGCTCAACTGCCATGGAATATTCTAGAAAAGTCTCAATATCCATGGAAGACTGGAGCCTTAATTACCATGAGGTACACAGACACATGGGAAATAATTCACTTTAGTCTTGTTCAGCTACATCTGACATCCATGAGACCCCTAGAGGGAGCCAGAAGAGAAGGCCCCTGTCTTTGGAGAGAAAGTCACCATATATGGGTTTAAGCTTCGCAGAATAGACCAGACTAGGAGGCAGAGAGGAAGGTGGGGTAGGAGGAACATTTCCTGACCTGGGGCCCCTTGGAGTGCCCGGGGCTCCAGGGAAGAGGAGGCTGAAGCAAACTGAGTCATCAGGAGAGAAAAACCCGTCGGGAGTGCCTGGGCATGAGAATGGCCACTGGTGAGTACCCTGGGGGGCGGGGCTGGCAGTGGAGTTGGCATTAAGAGTGGTCATGGTCAAGAATGGCAGACCAGGGGGCTGGGATTGTGGCTCAGCGGTAGAGCGCTCACCTAGCACGGGCGGGACCCGAGTTCGATTCTCAGCACCACATAAAAATAAAAGGCATTGTGTTGTGTCCATCTACAAAAAAATAAGATTCTCTCTCTCTCAAAAAAAGAAAAAAAAAAAAGAATGGCAGACCTTGAGGCAAACACTGGTTTAAACTGTTTAAAAGGTTAAAAGAGAAACCTGTCCTGTGCTACCCCACAACCCCCCCCCACCTTCCTCACCCCAGGGACTACCCTAGAAAAGTCTGGGGGTCACATGGTGAATGGATGGTGGTGCATAACACCACTATGGTATGCCCAAAGTCCTACCTCACCCCGCAGGCCCTTCCTCATTTCAGAACATGAGAACTGGAGGGCAATCTATTATGCCTCTCTCAGCCCATGTTGGCAAACTCCATCTTCAAAGCAGATCCTGATTTGGCCAGCTCCCATCACCCCTATCACCTTGTCCAGGCTGCCAGCCTCCTTCATCTGATTTGTGCGTTAGCCTCTTACCTGGTGGGCCTGCCTCGACCCCAGCTGCCTGTAGCAATTTTCCATACCACAGCAGCATCACAGCATGCTCTCGCAGCATGAGCCACATCAAGCCTCGACCACACTTCGGCCCTCTAGCTACTTCTTTTGCTCCTTGGTGTAAAAGCCCCTGAGTTCTCATGAAGTCCCACAGACCTGTGAGTTCTGGCTCCCACTGCCTCAGCAACTTGCTACGCTCTTCCTCCCTTGGTAACTCCAGTCACACCAGCATCCTCTGTTCCCACAAATTCCAAATGCCCCACCTTCATGGTCCTTGCTATTTCTGCTGTCTGCAGGGCTCTTCAACAACCCTTGGGATCCTGGAGTCCTCTAACCTCCCAGTGAAGCTTTCCCGGACCTCCAGGCTAACACCATATCCTGCTTTAAAAATTATCATTTATCACCACCTGACAGATACTTAGTTCTTTGTCTAGTGTCTCCCTTCCTTCTCTAGAATGTAAGGTCCAAGGGAAAAGGAATTCATTTGTTTTGTTTATATCCCTAGCTCTTTCATCAGGGCTTGTCCTCATAAAGGTGCTACACTAGTATTCTGTTGAAGGAATGAATGAATGAATGAACTTTACGGTAAGTGTGGCACATCTGACTTGACTGAAGGGAAATAAAAGAGGCCCTAGAGTCACAGACACCCCAGCGTGTGTTTGTGTGTGCATTGTGAGGTGGTAGCAGGGGTGGGTGGTGTGACCTCTCATGTATATACCTAAGTCGAAAATGCAATGAGCCCAACCATGAGGAATGGCTATCGATAGCTTCTCACATGTCATTCCTATTCTTTTAGTTTCCCAAAACCCATGGATAGGGAGTTTCTGATATTCCTAACTGTTCCATCCCAAGACCACGTATCAAATTAATATGGATCAGTTTTCCTAAAGAAAACAGATTGCCATGGTTTTGAGATCCTTGGGTAGCATCCCTGGAAGAGCACTGTGAATGGGAGAACGCCCATCCTGGTGTGCATGTGCCGGCTCTGATTAGGAGATGACTGCACCCAGGTACACAGGGACCATCATGCCCACCACATGAGGGACACCTGGGCTCAAAAGATACTGCACTTTGACCAGTCATGTGGGTAAGCCATGGTTAAGACAAAAGGACATCATGGCTGCATATGCTGCTTTTCTTCCATGGGCAGTTGCTTCAACAGGGCAAGATGCCCGAAGGTTGGCCTGCCACCTGTACTTTTTGTCCCTTTGGAAAAGAAGTAAAAGAGACAAGCTGGAGCCAGTGGCCTGGCATTCTGAGGGGTACC